AGCCCGAGCTCGCTGCGCTCCGCGCCGGGCGGACCCTCCGTGCCCCTCGCGGGCAGCTCGGGGTTGCCTTTCTCAGGCTTTGCGTGCCTGGCTGCTTTTTGCTTGTTTCGGGGGGTTTTGGGGTTTTTTTTTGGTTTTGGTTTTTTTTTTTTTGATGCTGCGAAAGTTCAGGAGTCACCTAAGTTGCGAAGAGTGTTTTTGAAGCTTTAGTTCTCTTCTTATGAAAGCAAAGAAAAACTTGATTAATTTGATTCGGGTATTCTCCTTGGCCTGCTTATTATGGCAAATAGCTCCACAGTAAAAAAGGCAAGGAGAGAGAGCAACACAGATTCTGCTTTATGTTTGGCAGAGCTCTGGAATACCAGTGAGAACTCTGGGAAGCAGAAAGCCATTTATTTAAGTGACAAAGCAAATGCTTTTCCATGACTCAATGAAAATCTGCATTTCCAGCAAGGACTGCATCCTTTCTGAAGGGTTATGCTGCAGTTGAAGCCCTTTTTTACAGATAGTCAAGCTAACTGGCTTTGAATAGGCCATGTCCTTACATAGTAATTGTGGTAGTCATCATGTGAGAGGGAGGGTTTTGAGAAAGTCTTTACAAATAAAGATATAGCATTCCTGTTGAGTACTTGCAGTAGGCTTTTGACATGGTCTCTGGGGGTTATAAGAAGTTGTTTCTAGGCCAATTCTTGCAGCCTGATGAGGTGAAAAAGTAGTTTGTGTCCCCCCCTATTTTTTATCCCTCTTCACTCAGCAATGTTAACATTTCAAAGAGCTCTATTACTTAGAACTAGGTTAATGGCTCATAGAAAATATTTCCAAAGGTGCTTTAGAATTTGTATTCATCTGAGTTAATCAAAACAAGTGCCTAAAAACGTACTTATGGTGGTTCAGAGCCACGTGATGGTCTTGCATCAAGGTACATAGAATCCCATTTGACGCTGATGGGATAGGCAACTTGCTTATTATAGTGCTCTCTCTGCTCAGATGAAGCAGCTGATCCAAGTTGTTGGAATTTTAAAACCTGCCTCAGACCCTGAAGTGGATGAGCACTTCCACTGCAGCTGGATCTGTTTTACTGGTTACTAGAATGTTCTTTTCTGTATTTTCAGGCAAATGTGTTAAATTAGCTGTCACTAAAGTCTATTTTTAGAGGCTTGGATAAAGCAAAGGAAAGTAGATTTGAACTGAAGTGGTTCAAAATTGGCAAGAAATGACTGACTAGTCTCAGCCTAGTTCCATAGGTTGAACTGTCAATTTTAATTTAGGCTGCATTGTTTAAAGCTGTGCAGAGATGAGGCCATGAATAATTAAGAGAGTGGATGAAGCCAATACGCATTCTTAAGAAGCTTCTTATCTGATGTAATAAATAATGGCATCCTGTGTTTTGGCTCCTTTCAGAATGATACAACTCTTGGACCCAAGACCCTTGCCAAGCTCCATCATGCCTGTGGATATGGCCATGCGATTTTGCTTAGCCCATTCTCCACCACTGAAGAACTTTCTTAGCCCCCTTGAGGACTGCCAAAGAAACAACTTTGTGAACAGACTCAAACCTCTCAGGCCATGCCTTCATGTGAAACATGACTCCGAAGCTCAGAAGAGTGACTGGAACCACTCAGCAGCCCGAGCCAAGAAGCGAGTTGTGTTTGCAGACTCAAAGGGACTGTCCCTGACGGTGATACACACCTTCTCAGACTTCCAGGAGCACTCTGGGTGGGACCTTCAGTTTGACTTCTTAGACAATGAGGACATAACATCTGACTTTAAGCTACATGAAGAGAAAAATTTGATTCTGGGTTTCCCTCAGCCCTCAGCTGACTACCTGGACTTCAGGAGTCTCCTTCAGAAGAACTTAGTCTGCCTGGAGAACTGCACCCTGCAAGAGAAGGTACTGTCAGGCACTGTGAAAGTAAAAAACGTGAGCTTTGAGAAAAAGGTGCAGGTTCGAATCACTTTTGATACATGGAAGACCTATAGGGATGTCGATTGTGTATACATGCACAATGTTTACAGTGGTTCTGAAAATGATACCTTCTCATTTACTATCGATTTGCCTCCTAACATTTCCTCTGAAGAGAAGATAGAGTTTTGCATTTCTTACCAAAGTGGAGGACATACCTACTGGGACAATAACAAGGGTCAGAATTATAAGATTCTCCATGCACAGTGGAAGCCTGATGGTGTTCAAATACCATCTGCCAAGATGGACTATGTAGATCTTCAGACTCCGAGGAGAGGACAAGAGAGAGAGCCTGATCAGCTAGGCAGTCCAAGGCTGTCCAGTGGCCTCTTCCCCCGGTGGCAGAGCTTGGGTCGGATTGAGAATTCATCACCATATTGGTGATCCATACTACTGAGGAAGCATTCTTCCATTTGGCAACAGAACAGTGTTAGTTTGCTGGTTCACATACTACATGATGAAACCACCTGGCAGGTTTTGTTTGCTGTCTGAACAAATCCAAATTCATTAGTCTGTGGGACTTGTTAAACCATCTCACACTACTGAAGTTCTTAGCCAAACCTTGTCCTTGGAAGGAAAGAAAACCAAGGTGTAAAACCCATGCATATGCCACCTACTATAGAAATAGCATGCCCATATCTCAAGTATATGCTGCTTTCTTTCTTCTGTCAGGTCTCCTGGGTCACTAGGAGAGAGACTTGTGAAGTAGTATGGAAGGAGATGGTATCTTAGCAAGCTATAGTAACTGCATGTGTGAGAGTATGTGTGTGTGCACAGGGATGTTATGTTAACAGAATGTCACAGTTCATTTTGCACCTTTTAGGAGTGCAGTAGATGCTGTCAGGAGGATTGCTGTGACCCTCTACATGTTTGTAGCAGAGGCATGGTGAAGATTTGTTGCTTCAAGGTTAAGAAACTTGGAGATGACAATGGAAAGGTGGGAAAAAAGCAAGAGGTAGAATGTGCTATATAACTTGGAGATGTGCAATGTTCCAATTGCTTCTTTCCAAAGCTGTCTTTTTTTTTTTAAGTCCCAGAGAAAGTTCTATAGGATAAAAAAGAGACTAAAGAAAATGATTCAAAGTGAGTGGTAGAAATCACTGCCGCTTTGAGAACACATTTCTGTCCTCACTGGCTTTGTGAATGCCTTGCATTTGATAACAGATCTAGCCTTGACTTCATCCTACTCAATTAGAAGGCAGATGGTTACCTTTTCATGTAAAAGGCAAAACATGCCTTTAAAAGACATATTAAAGCCACCCTATATGCCAAAAATAGGGTTAGGTGACAAACCAGACAAAGTGACTTGTGAACTTCCTAGTCTGTATCAGCATTGGGTGATTTGACTCATCACCTGATCTAATTTGCAGCATCTGATGGTTGAGTATCCTGCTCCTTATTGCAGAGTTAGCAATGACTTATCACAAGTGCATAATACAGGCAAAGTCCTTCATATTGAAGACAGTGAACTAGCTGCACTTTGTGAAAGCTAATTTCTTTGAAAGAGTAGGGTTGTTACTAGTTTTTTTCTAGACTGAATATAGGCTTGCACATTCTGTTTTACCTCATTTTTTGAAGTTGTTTTTTTAGACTTCAGTAAACTAATATATATTTTGTATCTCTATGCTTATAATTTTGCTTTCTGAGCTGTCAAATGTTAAAGGTGATCTGTGTTTCATGCAAGATTTGTGTGAGAAACTGTCCAATACATGCTCAGCAGGTGTTGAATACTGGCACATCTTTTAGCTGTACAGAAATGGTGTTAACATCAAAATATAAATCACATTTTTGCCCATGGCTAAGAAGTTTAATATCCTGAGTGTGAAGCTACTTGCAGTGCAGCGAGATGATAAATGCTAAGGTGAAATAAACCTTTTCCACTAATTGCACTTTTCCCCTTATGTAACCTTTCCTGTTATGTGTAAACTAGCTATTTTAAGAATAAATTTTATTTTGATACACTTGGCTTTCACTGTGTCAGCTCAATCTATTTTCTCAACTTCTATAAAACAACCTTTGTTGTGATAGAAGGTACAACCAGTTTGTTCTGTGCCATGGGATTTGCTAAAGCTGGCTATGGAATGGCATCTCTGTTCAGCAGACAGCATTACCCTGAAGATGAAATTCAAACTCTTCACCAAATGAGAGATCCTCAAAAGTATTCACCTTGCAAGTTGTGTCATTTTAAAAAAATCCACTGTATCTCACTAAATTTAACTGGAATATTTCAGTTTGACAGGTTCTGTCAGGGATCATGCTGTGCTGAGGGCAAGCCTGGCAGTGTCTGTGTTAATCTAATGGCCAGACTTACCTGCTGAGCTACAGCATATGTGATGCTTGCATGGGTGAGTCTAGACAGCAGCACCTAATGTTTTCTGGCTTGCTTTCACCTTTGTTTAGCTAGTTATGCTGCCTCCTACAGCTGTGCTGCTGTTCGGGGCATTAGGAGGCTGTTTTTCTCCTCTTTTACCCAGGAACCCAGTGGAAATGCCATCAGTACCAAACAGCTCCCTGCTGTCTCTGGGCCAGCCATTTGCCTTTGCCCCTGCAGTGTGGCCTTAACCTCACAGTCAGAATGGAGACAGGGGTGCATAATTTCCAAGGGCCCTAGTCCCCTGAGGGGTGGGCAGAGGGTTTTGGTACACCCCTGCTTCTCCTCCATGGCAATTTAGAGCAGCACAAGAGTAAGAACAGGTTAGCCAGCACCAGTTGCACACCAGCTACTCTAGATGGGCTTTCTTAGTACATTAACTCAGTGACCAGATGCAATTTTGTTTGTTGCACTCAAAGTCAAGGATTTCCTGGCAAGAAATCTAGTTTTAATTATGAAAAAGCAATTCCCCAGAGGCAGAAGACATGGAGGTAACAGCATATTGCTGACCTAGGGAATGAATTTAGAGATTCCACATTGCAAAATTTGTGCTGGGCACAGAGCCCTCCCACCATATATCAGTCTCAAACTCTGTTAAGTACTACTCTAAGTCTTACTGTGCAAGAGTTTTATGATATATACTGCACCATCAGCTCCCTGCTCTAGTGAACTTGAAGAGAGATTTGTAGCTTAAGTGGCTTGAAGGTTTTTCTGCCTCAATGTGGAAATTTGGCAAACCAGATACAAGGCTACTGGGTAGAGCAGATGCCTTCTAACATGAGGGAAAGTAGCATTTCTTATCCTCCAGCCAGGTTTTGTGACCAGCCCAACTGTCCTGCTTTTGACTGAGACATAAATCACATAAAAATACCAGAAGACAGGTTCCTTTGACCAAGCTTTGGCTTTAAGCCAGCTCCTTTGCAAAGATGCCTTGCAACATCTTATTTGCCCAGCAGAGAGGCAATGAGAGTGCTGCAGTGTTGCTCAGCAGTTCCAAAGTCCTCCCTCAGTTGAGAGGGCAAAGTATATCTCCTTTCTCCACTCCCTACCAAAGCAACACAGTTTTGCTCCTTCGTCTTGAAACAGAGCTTGTGTTTAACACTAAAGCTTACATTCATCAAAAAGGTAACAGGCTCCTAGAGGAAGGTATCAGCAACACTAAGGTATATTAACTGAAAAAAATACTATGTACACGTGTATTTATCAATCAGATCCTGTGAAAATTGTCGCCATTGGAAAACTGTCTTAACATTGTAGATGCTGCCCTTTCAGGCACATTTTTTAAAAAAACTGAAGGAATAAAGCAGATGTGGCCTTTGAAACAGACCTTGCAACCTATGGCATCATCTTATTCCCTTAGGAAGTCACTTTTTCAGCTGCATCCTTGGTTTGTATTTCACCACTAAGGTGACAGAGTGAATGACTGGATTTATTCTTACAGGTCTGCAGGTCTGAGGTGTGTGACTTTCAGTTATAGCCTATGGGTGGCACAGTATTTACAGACTTTTTTCTTCAAACTCAAGTGTTTCAGGTTGGGTTCCTCATAGCTGTACTTGCTTTTGGGAAGGTAGAACTAGTTTTACCATGCAAAATTAAATTAAAATTTGCTGTTGTTTTATATTAACAAAGATCTGTCACCCTGGAAGTTCAGTGTCTGAACATTTCCTGAGAACATAATTAGAATTTTCACAGGCAATTAGTGAATGTCTTCTTCTGTAGTTATATATAGCTAAACAAATTACCATGATTTATATGGTAAATCTGGTATATTAACAGTAATGTGGTAGATGTTACGGTATTAAATATACATAAAGCAACAACTCCTATCCCACTCAGATGCTTCCGAGCTTTAAAGTGAAATGTAATCAAGAATAAAATGTTCCAGTGAGGCTGAAATAAAAGTAAGGATCAATTAAATCCTCTTGAGAGGTCTCTCCTCTTTCAAGAACCACCTGTACTTCAGCCTTTCCTGGCTGCATTCACTGAACCTGTTCTTATAGCCCTTCAGTGATGGAGGCTCCACAAGCTTTCCAATTATTATTTCCTCTTCTTGCCTTATGAGACTCCTGAGGTCCTAGCCTAATTACAATTAAGCTCCTAGGTTTTTTGTTTTATTCTGCATAGGCAAGAAGAAAAACTATTGCTTTCTCTTTCAACAGCCTGTAGTGGCTTGAGAGCAAAGAACACCTTTCCCTTCTCTCCCCACATCCCTCCTCAAGGCTACATAATACTTCATTTCATTAAAACAGATATTTTGATTTTTCATCCTTGTTTGTAAAGAACCCACTAGACCTTTGGATTTTCCTTAATGCAGAAATATCACTCTGGCTACCTCTGGCAAAAACCTCATGGTATGGTCCTCAACTGCAGCAGTGAAATCTTAGCATAGCTCCACACCCATTTTTCATTGCTCAAGTGACTTCATCCATCTCATGCAATAAGGCCTCAGGAATGTATGGCTTGTTTCTGCAGTGCTTGATAGCCTGTCTGTGAAGTTTATGACAGCTGGGGCAGATTGAATCAGTGATGCACTTCACTGACCATTTATTCTAAGGATGGCATTTCCTCCATTGAAAACATTCATCTTTTCCCTGCTCCTCTCTGCATTACAACTTCTTCTAACACTCCAGCCTTTATCTCCTTTCTGGCCTAGTCTTTAAGTTGGTGAGTTTTCATTTCTTCTATGTGAAGAGCAGCATTCTCTGCTTCAGTGACAGTGCTCTGTGTAACTATCACCTCAGCAGCTGCACCATCAAAAGAATTTACCCTTTGGGAAGTCAGGAAATGTTATCTTCCAACCCATTCTCCCCAGCCCTAGAGTGTCTTTCCTTTTCTTCTGTCAGGGTATAAAATCCTCCTTTTCCTACCTGACATGACATAATCTTATGAAAGTCCATGGGTGTCTGAATTTCTGGGCACTATCAATTTCAGAGGTCTGTCATCATCTTGGTTCAGGAAGAGCACCAGGGGCAGTATATAATCCCAGTAAAAAGGAACAGTCTGCTGGTGGAAA